CAAATCCCCCCCAAATCCCCCCGCCCTGCTCTGAGCCCCTTTTCCCCCCAGGGAACATCGAGACCAACCACAACCTCCCCCCCAGCCACAAATCCCGCAACAACCTCATCAGGTGGGCACGGGGGGAATTTGCATAATTTGGGGGGTCGTTTGCATTTTTAGTGAGTTGATTTGCATGGTTTTGAGGTTCATTTGCATGTTTTTGGGGGTTCTTGCATGTCTTGGGGGTTAAATTGCATTTTGGGGTTCGTTTGCATGTTTTGGGTGTTGATTTGTATGATTTGGGTGTCGTTTGCATATTTTGGGTGTTGATTTGCATGATTTGGGTGTCGTTTGCGTATTTTGGGGTTTCAGTTTGCATATTTGGGGTTCATTTGCCTGATTTGGCTGTTCATTTGCATATTTGGAGGTTGGGTTGCATGTTTTGGGTCTCATTTGCATAATTGGCTGTTGGTTTGCATGTTTGGGGGTTCTTTGCGTGTTTTAGGGGTTTATTTGCATATTTTGGGGTCTGTTGTATGTTTTGGGGTTGATTTGCCTGTTTGAGGGATTCATTTGCATGTTTTGGGCTCAATTTGCATGTATGGGCATTGGTTTGCATGGTTTGTGGGTTCATTTGCATATTTGGGGTGTCCATTTGAACATTTTGGGGGCCAATTTGTAATTTTAGGGGTTTCACTTGAATATTTTGGGAGCTCATTGGAAGTTTTAGGGTTTTATTTGAACTTTTGGCGGTTCACATGAATATTCTGTGGGTTGATTTGCATATTTGGTGTCTCATTTGCATATTTTCGGGCGCTGCCAGGACCAGCCTGGATCTCTACGCCAACGTGATTCACTGCCAGAGCCTGCCCGGGGTGGAGACGCGGCACCGGGACATCGACATCCTCATCGTCAGGGAGAACACCGAGGGGGAGTACAGCTCCCTGGAGCACGAGGTGTGCCCCAAAAACACCCTAAAAACACCCCAAAATACCCCCAAGAACACCCCAAAAATACCCAAAAAATCCCCCCAAAACCCGGCCAAAATACCCCCCAAAAACCCCCCAAAAACACCCCAAAACATCCTCATCGTCAGGGAGAACACCGAGGGGGAGTACAGCTCCCTGGAGCACGAGGTGTGCCCCAAAAACACCCTAAAAACACCCCAAAATACCCCCAAGAACACCCCAAAAATACCCAAAAAATCCCCCCAAAACCCGGCCAAAATAGTCCCCAAAAACACCCTAAAAACACCCCAAAAATGCCCTGAAAACACCCCAAAACATTCTCATCGTCATTGAGAACACCGAGGGGGAGTACAGCTCCCTGGAGCACGAGGTGTGTCCCAAAACCCCCAAAAATACACCCAAAAACACCCCAAAAATACCCAAAAAATAACCCCAAAACCCGCCCCAAAACCCCCAAAAATACACCCAAAAACACCCCAAAAATACCCAAAAAATAACCCCAAAACCCGGCCAAAATACCCCCAAAAACACCCTAAAAATATCCCCAAAAATGCCCTGAAAACACCCCAAAACATTCTCATCGTCATTGAGAACACCGAGGGGGAGTACAGCTCCCTGGAGCACGAGGTGTGCCCCAAAAACACCCTAAAAACACCCCAAAAATGCCCTGAAAACACCCCAAAACATTCTCATCGTCAGGGAGAACACCGAGGGGGAGTACAGCTCCCTGGAGCACGAGGTGTGCCCCAAAAACACCCTAAAAACACCCCAAAATACCCCCAAGAACACCCCAAAAATACCCAAAAAATTCCCCCAAAACCCGGCCAAAATAGCCCCAAAAACACCCCAAACCCACCCCAAAACATCCTCATGGTCAGGGAGAACACCGAGGGGGAGTACAGCTCCCTGGAGCACGAGGTGTGCCCCAAAACCCCCAAAAATACACCCAAAAACACCCCAAAAATACCCAAAAAATAACCCCAAAACCCAGCCAAAATACCCCCAAAAACACCCTAAAAATATCCCCAAAAATGCTCTGAAAACACCCCAAAACATCCTCATCGTCAGGGAGAACACCGAGGGGGAGTACAGCTCCCTGGAGCACGAGGTGTGCCCCAAAAACACCCCAAAAATACACCCAAAGACACCCCCAAAAACTTGCCAAAATACCCCCAAAAACACCCTAAAAATATCCCCAAAAATACCCTGAAAACCCCCCAAAAATACACCCAAAGACACCCCCAAACACTTGCCAAAATACCCCCAAAACCCGCCCAAAAAAGCCCCAAAAACCCCCCAAAACCACCCCAAAACATCCTCATGGTCAGGGAGAACTCCGAGGGGGAGTACAGCTCCCTGGAGCACGAGGTGTGCCCCAAAATCCCCAAAAATACACCCAAAGACACCCCCAAACACTTGCCAAAATACCCCCAAAACCCGCCCAAAAAAGCCCCAAAAACCCCCCAAAACCACCCCAAAACATCCTCATGGTCAGGGAGAACTCCGAGGGGGAGTACAGCTCCCTGGAGCACGAGGTGTGCCCCAAAATCCCCAAAAATACACCCAAAGACACCCCCAAACACTTGCCAAAATACCCCCAAAACCCGCCCAAAAAAGCCCCAAAAACCCCCCAAAACCACCCCAAAACATCCTCATGGTCAGGGAGAACTCCGAGGGGGAGTACAGCTCCCTGGAGCACGAGGTGTGCCCCAAAATCCCCAAAAATACACCCAAAGACACCCCCAAACACTTGCCAAAATACCCCCAAAACCCGCCCAAAAAAGCCCCAAAAACCCCCCAAAACCACCCCAAAACATCCTCATGGTCAGGGAGAACTCCGAGGGGGAGTACAGCTCCCTGGAGCACGAGGTGTGCCCCAAAATCCCCAAAAATACACCCAAAGACACCCCCAAACACTTGCCAAAATACCCCCAAAACCCGCCCAAAAAAGCCCCAAAAACCCCCCAAAACCACCCCAAAACATCCTCATGGTCAGGGAGAACTCCGAGGGGGAGTACAGCTCCCTGGAGCACGAGGTGTGCCCCAAAAGCCCCCCAAAAATACACCCAAAACCACCCCCAAAATACCCAAAAAATAACCCCAAAACCCGGCCAAAATAGTCCCCAAAAACACCCTAAAAACACCCCAAAAATACCCTGAAAACACCCCAAAACATCCTCATCGTCATTGAGAACACCGAGGGGGAGTACAGCTCCCTGGAGCACGAGGTGTGCCCCAAAACCCCCAAAAATCCCCCCAAAAACCTGACAAAATGCCCCCAAAAACACCCTAAAAATATCCCCAAAAATACCCCAAAACCCACCCAAAATATCCCAAATCCCCCCAAAAATACCCACTCTGGATGTGATGCCACACCCGTGCCACACCTGGGGGGTGGTGCCACGCCCTGGGGCTGATGCCCCGCCCCTACCCCACCACATCGGTGACGCCACACCCTGATGGTGATGTCACACCCTGATGGTGACGCCACACCCTGATGGTGACGCCACACCCTGATGGTGATGTCACACCCATGCCACGCCCTGTTGGTGACATCCCAGCTGTGCCACACCCATACCACACCCGGGGAGTGGTTCCCCACCCAAAATATCCCATGATGGTGATGCCACACCCTGATGGTGATGTCACACCCGTGCCCCACCCCTGCCACGCACGTGCCACACCCTGTTGGTGATGCCGCACCCGTGCCACGCCCCGGGGCTGATACCACACCCACGCCACGCCCTGTTGGTGACGCCCCGGCTGTGTCACACCCATACCACACCCTGGGGCTGATACCACACCCATGCCACGCCCTGTTGGTGATACCACACCCGTGCCACGCCCCGGGGCTGATACCACACCCACGCCCCGCCCTGTTGGTGACGCCCAGCTGTGTCACACCCATGCCACACCCGGGGGCGGTGCCCCGTCTGGGCCCCGCCCGTGCCCTGCCCTGTTGGTGACGCCCAGCTGTGTCACACCCATGCCACACCCGGGGGCGGTGCCCCGCCCGTGCCACGCCCGTGCCACGCCCTGTGCCCGCAGAGCGTGGCGGGCGTGGTGGAGAGCCTGAAGATCATCACGGCCGGGCGCTCGCGCCGCATCGCGCACTACGCCTTCGGGCTGGCCCGCGCCGCCGCGCGCCGCTGCGTCACCGCCGTGCACAAGGCCAACATCATGTACGGCTGGGGGGTCCCGGGGGGTCGGATACTGGGAGCACTGGGGGGGCACTGGGAGCACTGGGGGGCACTGGGAGCACTGGGAATGCCTCGGGGGCACTGGGAGCACTGGGCTGTCACTTGGGGGTCTCTGAGGGCCGTTACTGGTGGGTCTCAGGGCCGTTACTGGGATGGCACTGGGATGACACTGGGCTGTTACTGGGGGGGACTGGGGGTCTCATGGCCATTACTGGGCTGTTACTGGGATGGCACTGGGCTGTTACTGGGGGGCACTGGGCTGTTACTGGGCTGTTACTGGGCTGTTACTGGGCTGTTACTGGGCTGTTACTGGGCTGTTACTGGGCTGTTACTGGGCTGTTACTGGGCTGTTACTGGGCTGTTACTGGGCTGTTACTGGGCTGTTACTGGGCTGTTACTGGGCTGTTACTGGGCTGTTACTGGGCTGTTACTGGGCTGTTACTGGGCTGTTACTGGGCTGTTACTGGGCTGTTACTGGGCTGTTACTGGGCTGTTACTGGGCTGTTACTGGGCTGTTACTGGGCTGTTACTGGGCTGTTACTGGGCTGTTACTGGGCTGTTACTGGGCTGTTACTGGTGGGTCTCAGGGCTGTTACTGGGGGCACTGGGGGTCACGGGGGTCTCATGGCTGTTACTGGGCTGTTACTGGGATGGCATTGGGCTGTTACTGGAATGTTACTGGGCTGTTACTGGGAGCACTGGGCTGTTACTGGGCTGTTACTGGTGGGTCTCAGGGCTGTTACTGGGGGGCACTGGGCTGTTACTGGGGAGCACTGGGCTGGCACTGGGCTGTTACTGGTGGGTCTCAGGGCTGTTACTGGGGGCACTGGGGCTCACGGGGGTCTCACGGCCATTACTGGGCTGTTACTGGGATGGCACTGGGCTGTTACTGGGGGGCACTGGGCTGTTACTGGGCCATTACTGGTGGGTCTCAGGGCTGTCGCTGGGGGCACCGGGGCTCACGGGGGTCTCACGCCGCGCCCCCAGGCCACGCGGAACACCGGCAAGAGCATCGCCAACCGCAACATCGCCAACCCCACGGCCGCGCTGCTGGCCGCCTGCATGATGCTGGACCACCTGCGGTGGGGGGGGCTCACCCGGGAGGGGGTGGGGACACCCAAGAGGGGGAGGGGACACCTGCGGTGGGTGGGGCAGACCTGGGAGGGGGTGGGGAGCACCTGAGAGGGACGGGATCCCAAAAAAGAGCTGGTGCTTCGGAAGTGGGCGTGGCTTCCCAGTGGGAGGGGCTAAGGGGTGTGGTCTAGCAGGCCAGGATCCCATGAGAGGGGCTGGGTGAGGGGGCGGGACCTCAGGAGGGCGGAGCCTCTGAGTGTTCACCTGGAGGGGGCGGGGCTTCACCTCTGTGGCTGGGTGTGGCTCACTGATGTGGGCGTGGCCCGCGCTTGCCCCGCCCCCAGGCTGCACAACCACGCCTCCACCATCCGCAAGGCCGTGCTGGCCTCGCTGGACGACCCCCGGGTAAGCCCCGCCCTCACCTGGCCCCACCTCCCCCAGGGGCGTGGCCCCAAACCCGGGGGCGTGGCCATTAACCTGCCTGGTGGACGTGGCCCCGCCCCCGTGGGCGTGTCTCTGACGCGGCCCCGCCCCCAGACGCACACGCCGGACATCGGGGGCCAGGGCACGACGTCGGGCGCGGTGCAGAGCATCATCGGGCACCTGCCGCGGGGCTGAGCCCCCCACGGACACGGGGACCCCGGGACCCCCAAAACGGCCCTGGGACCCCCCCCGAACAGCCCCGAGACCCCAAAACGGCCCCGGGACCCCCCTGGAACAGCCCCGAGACCCCAAAACGGCCCTGGGACCCCCCCAGAATAGCCCCGGGACCCCAAAACGGCCCTGGGACCCCCCTGGAACAGCCCCGGGACCCCAAAACGGCCCTGGGACCCCCCAGAATGGCCCCAGGACCCCCAGGAATGGCCCTGGGACCCCAAAATGGCCCTGGGAACCCCCCAGAGTGGCCCCTGACCCCCCTGGAATGGCCCCAAGATCCCAAAGCAGTTCTGACCCCCCCCCCCCCCAGAAGACCCCCAGGAGCACAGGCCTGACACCCCCAGGACCCCCCTTGAAACAGCACCAGGACCACCTGAAACACCCCCCGGGACCCCCAAACACCCCCGGGACCCCCCTGGAACATGGCATCTACCACACAACACCACTGGGACCCCCCAAAACACCCCAGGCCCCCCCAAAACACCCCAGGACCACACAACACCACTGGGACCCCCCTCCAAGACACCCAAAGCACTTCCAGGACCCCAAAACACCCCTAGGACCCTCCTGGGACCCCAGAACACCCCTGGGACCCCCCAGAACACCCCCGGGACCCCAAAGCACCCCCAGGACCTTTAGGACCACGATGCACCCCAAGGGACCCCAAAACAGCTCTGGGACCCCCCAGGAGCACGCACAAAGCCCCTGGGACCCCCCTGGAGCCCCCCAGGACACTCTAGGGTCCCACCAGGACCCCCCCAAACCCCCCACAGGACCACGAAGAGCACCCCAACCCCCCCACGGGACCCCAGTAAACACCTGAGGACGACCAGGAGCCCCCCAAACCTCCCGTAGGACCAACAGGAGCACCCCAAACCCCCCACAGGACCCCAATTATCACCCCAGGACCAGCAGGAACCCCCCTAACTCCACACAGGACCACCAAGAGCCCCCCAAGCCCCTCCCAGGACCACCAGGAGCACCCCAAGCCCCTCACAGGACCACCAGGAGCACCCCAAACCCCCCAGAGCAGCACCAAGAGCACCCCAAATCCCCCACAGGACCCCAATAAACACCCCAGGACCAGCAGGAGTCCCCCAGGCCCCACACAGGACCACAATGAACACCCCAGGACCACCAGGAACCCCCCAGAAGACCCAAATAAGCACCCCAGGAGCCCCCAGACCCTGCACAGGACCCCAGTAAAAACCCCAGGATCTCCTAAACCCCCCTCAGGACCACCAAGAGCACCCCAAACCCCTCACAGGACCACCAGGAACCCCCAAAAGACCCCAGACAAACACCCCAGGACCACCAGGAGACCTCCACAAAACCCTAAACGTCCCAGGACAACCTTGACCCCCCACAAAACCCCAATAAACACCCTAGGACCACCAGGAACCCCCCAAAACCCCAATAAACACCACAGGACCACAAAGACCCCCCCAGAAGACCCCAATAAAAATCCCAGGAGCCCCCAAGCCCCCCACAGGACCATCAGGAACCCCCCCAAAACACTCCCATGAAAACCTTGAACCCCCCCACAGGGCCCCAATTAACACCCCAGGACCACCATGACCCCCCACAAAACCCAAATAAACACCCCAGGAACCCCCAAACCCCCCACAGGATCACCAGGAATCCCCCACCGGTACCCCTATAAACACCCCAGGACCACCAGGAAGCCCCCAGTGGTACCCCAAACAACACCCCAGGAACCCCCGAACCCCCCACCAGGAACCCCCCACAACAGGACCCCAATAAACACCCCAGGACCACCGGGAACCCCCACAGGACCCCAATAAACACCCGGTACCACCGGTACCCCAATACACAGCCGGTACCCCAATAAACAGCCGGTAGCGCCGTTCCCCGTGGTTTATTGCGGCGGGGGCGGGGCTAGGGGCGGAGCCAGGGGTGCTGCAGGCACTGGCGGGCCGTGGCCCTGCGGCCGGGCTCGAAGGCCAGCATGGGCCGCAGGAAGCGCGCGAAGGCGGCGGCCGGGCCCCGCGGCCACTCGTACTTCTCCTGCAGCACCGCCCGCAGCCCCCACGGCCGCAGGTGCCGGATGTGGCGCAGCTCACCTGCCGAGGGGCGGGGTCAGGGGCGGGGCCGGCGGGGGACACGCCCACGGCCGCGTCATAGCGCACGCAGAGCGGGGGAGGGGAAGGGAGGGGTCCTGAGGTGGCCCCGCCCCTTATGGGGTGGTCAGGACATGGCCGGAAGCTGTGGCCCCGCCCCTTATGGGGGTGTGGTCATCAGGACACCCCAATGCTGAGGTGACCCCGCCCATTGGGGGTGTGGTCAGGATATGTCCCAATGTTGAGGTGGCCCCGCCCCTTTTGATGGGTGTGGTCAGGACACGCCCCCCCCATGGGTGGGGCCATGGGAAGACAAACCTCACTCCATCACCCTGCAAAGCTCAAGCTCCTCCCCCTTTCCCAGAACCACGCCCCTATGGGTGTGGCACCACCTCCACCCCCTCATTTGCATAACCCCACCCCACCACACCTTTAGGGCCACACCCAGCCCTTAACCCCGCCCCCTCTGACACCGCCAGGCCACACCCAGCCCTGGCCACGCCCCCGGCCCCGCCCTCACCTCTCCTGTTGAAGAACTCGCGGGAGTAGCGCCCCCCCAGGGCCACGTGCCGCGGGATCTCCCCCAGCAGCTCGATCACGTGGGCGATGTGGTCTGCGGGGCGGGGCACGTCGGACACGCCCATTCCAGCCACGCCCACCCCCTTTAGCCACGCCCACCCTGCTGTTCAATCCCTTCTTCTTGCCCCACCCCCACACGGGGATATGGACTTGGCCACGCCCCCTTGGCCAACCCCACAGTCCATTGGCTGCCACGCCATGGCAGGCTCCACCCACTTATGAGCCACGCCCCGCTTGAAAACCAATCCCAAATGGCCACGCCCTTGGGTCAGGCCACACCTCTTTGACTCCTGATTGGCTACCAAAGGCCCCGCCCACTTTTATATCCTTGTTGGGGAAGCTCCACCCTCATGTACCATGTCCCACCCATCCCTGAGGCCACACCCATCCCTGAGAACACACCCATCCACACCACACCCATCCCTGAGACCACACCCATCCACAACACCACACCCATCTGAGACCACACCCATCCACAACACCACACCCATCTCTAATACCACACCCATCCCGGAGGCCACACCCCCTTCCAAGGCCACACCCATCCTTACCACCATCCCTACAACCAAGGCCTCACCTGTCCCATGGCCACACCCATTCTCAAGACCACACCCATTCCTAAGACCACACCCATTCCCAAGGCCCCGCCCCCCGAGACCACGCCCACCCTCGTCGCGGCTGTACTCCTCGCCCGAGTGCGGCTCGAACAGGTAATCGCCCGTGGCCAGCTCGAACGCCTGGGGGGGAAAGGGGGGCTGGGGGGGCACGCAGACCCCTGCCCAGCCCGGGGGCCACGGCAGCCCCCCCTCACCCTGGGGTCCACCAGAGACCCCTCCCCACCTCAGGGAACCATCACAGACCCCTCCCCACCCGGGGGTCCATCACAGCCCCCTGCCCCACCCGGGGGTCCATCACAGCCCCCTCCCTCCCTGGGGTCCATCAGAGACCCCTCCCCACCTCAGGGAACCACCATAGCCCCTCCTCACCCTGGTGTCCCTGGCAGACCCCTCCCCACCCAGAGGTCCCAGGCAGCCCCCTCCCCCACTATGAGGTCCCTGGCAGCCCCCTCCCCACCCCGAGCCCCCTCCTCACCCTGGGGTCCATCAGAGACCCCTCCCCACCTCAGGGAACCATCACAGCCCCCTGCCCCACCCGGGGGTCCATCACAGCCCCCTCCCTCCCTGGGGTCCATCAGAGACCCCTCCCCACCTCAGGGAACCACCATAGCCCCTCCTCACCCTGGCATCCCTGGCAGACCCCTCCCCACCCAGAGGTCCCAGGCAGCCCCCTCCCACACTATGAGGTCCCTGGCAGCCCCCTGCCCAGCCCGGGGTCCCTGGCAGCCCCCTTCCCACCCAGGGGTCCATCACAGCCCCCTGCCCAGCCCGGGGGTCTCTGGCAGCCCCCTGCCCAGCCCGGGGTCCCTGGCAGCCCCCCCCCACACTATGAGGTCCCTGGCAGCCCCCTGCCCAGCCCAGGGTCCCTGGCAGCCCCCTGCCCAGCCCAGGGTCCCTGGCAGCCCCCTGCCCAGCCCGGGGTCCCTGGCAGCCCCCTGCCCACACTATGAGGTCCCTGGCAGCCCCCTGCCCACGCTGGGGGTCCCTGGCAGCCCCCCGCAGGCAGCCCCCCCCTCACCATGCAGGCCGTGCTCCAGATGTCGGCGGGGGGCCCGTAGCCCGCCCCCAGCAGCACCTCCAGCGCCCGGTACTGCCGCGTCTGGATGTCCTCGGTGAAGTGCTTGTGCTGGGGGCAGGGGTCACCCTGACCCAGAACGCCCCCAGACCCAAAACACCCCCAGACCCACATGGACACCCCCAGACCCAAAACACCCCCTGACCCAGAACGCCCCCAGACCCAAAACACGCCCAGACCGACCCAGAACGCCCCCAGACCCAAAACACCCCCAGACCCACATGGACACCCCCAGACCCAAAACACCCCCTGACCCAGAACGCCCCCAGACCCAAAACGCCCCCAGACCCAAAACGCCCCCAGACCCAAAACACGCCCAGACCCAAAACACCCCCAGACCCAAAACACCCCCAAACCCACATGGACATCCCCAGACCCACACGGACACCCCCAGACCCAAAACACCCCCAAACCCACACAAACACTTCAGACCCCCATGGACACCCCCAAAACACCCCCCGAATCTGCACACCGCCCCCCCAAACCCACATGAACACACCCAAAACCTCACCCCCAGTCCCTCCCAGTCCCCCCC